GAAAATTCAAAAAGTTTGGAAATTATACTCATCCCCATATCTTTTCAGTTCAAATCCTATTCTGTGTTCACTATCCCAGTTGATTTTTTCAAAGTATACCCACTCACCAAGCATAAAATGGAAAAAAAAATTTCAACTCAATTCTCTCTTCTTTTTCTTTAATTAGTTGTCAAATACTACCACATAAAGGTCCTCTCTCTCATCTGTCCATTTCTTCTACTTCCATTTCAGTGACTTGCTTTCTTTACTCCTTCACTCAGCAGGTATTTATTGAGCACAGGGCATTTCCAGAGTATTTAGCAGTTACTGTTGTAGGTCCTAGACTCAACAATGAAAAAAAAAAAACCACACTTCTTCCCAAATGGAACTTATTGAGGGAAGGAAAGCAAAAATTAAATGACCATCAATAAATAAATAATTGCTGAAATGAAGAGAATTATAACCAGGGTATGCCCTGGTGACTGACCAATTAGATTGGATGCTCACTGAGGGTTCTTGACAATAAGAAGCATGAGCTGAGATGTGAAGGACAAGAAGGGACAGCCCTGTGAAGACTGTATCACAGCCATATGTATATCTCATAAATATGTACAGTACTGCTGAGATAATCCCATGATTGCAACAAATTTCTTAATTTTTAATATTTCTCATCAGCCATCCTATCTCCATCAGAGAGATCCTTGCTAAATGAAAATTACCATTGTCTCAAGTTAAAATTCAAATTTCTTTTTCTGTTTTCTCCTATTAAAAAATATTTATACAATTTTAAAGGTTACTTTCTATTTATAGTTATTGCAAAATATTGGCTATATTCCTTGTGTTGTACAATATCAAATTTCCTAATATAATTCATGAAAATCTATGGATTGGGTCACCAATTGTCGATAGAAACTTTATCTCACCCCCTATCCAAATGGACCTCACATTATAGTCATAGCCAAGTACTTGCATCTTTTAGTATGTGTCTTGCATATTTTTCTTCTTTCTTTCTTTCTTTTTTTTTCTGGTGCTCATTTCCCCCAGGAGCTTGACATTTGCCTCTCTATCTAACTGAACAGACTATGTTCAAGTTCCAGCATAGCCTCATCTCCTCTCTGGAAACTTCTTCCCATCTTCTGCTCTCCCTGTCCCCATCCTAGTCAGTTATATGCCCCCTCCACTGTGTGTTCCCACCGCTCTATAACGGCTATGAGAGCACTTACACTACTTCAAGGACAGTTAATTGTTCATTTCTTCCTAAGTATAGCCTCAGACACAGACATTGAGTGCAGAATTTTGTTTATGCCATTATAACCACCACCCTTAACAATGAATAAGCTCTTATGTAATGAGAAAGTTTGAATGCTAAGCTTACCCTGACTGCCTCAATATTCTGCCCTTTGGTGCATATTCTATTTTCTGAGATTAATCAGGACAAATCTGACCTCCCTCAAATGTCTCAAATGTGACAATTATTTTCTGTCAATTTGATAATTACTATCAATGCTTGACAAAATATTCTTTGTCATCAGTGACAATTCCTTAACAATGTTTGCTATGAAAAGGGCAGAAGAATGAGGAGGTTTTACTTCCTCTGGACTCTATTCATTAGCATCACCTGAGATCATGTTTATACTACATTTGTTCGTAACACATCATCTATTCAACATTAACGTTTGGTGCCAGTACATATAAAACAAAAGTATGCTGTTTGAGGTTCCAAGTTTTTGTGAACAAACAAATGTACTAAGTGCATTCACAAAAGCATAAGAATAAAAATGTAGTTTTGCATGTACACGTACATCTGTACACTCACAGACAGAAGCACACACAATCAAATCCATACTGAATAGCAGAGTAATGAGTATTCTGGAGATGTTCTACCTGGGTTCAAATCCTAGTACAATTGTCTAACTCTGGGTCAAAGCTAAAATTTTCTTAAATATCTGTTTCTCAATTTTCCTATTTATAAAAGAAAGTGATAGCAGTGTCTCCCTAATGGGGTTGCTATGAAGATTAAGGGAGTTAATTCTGACAAAACCCTTAGAAAAGTGATTCAGAGCTCAGTAGGTATGAGCTATAGCAGTGCCTGTGTACATGCGTATGGTCACATTAAATTTCCCTTCATGTATACTCTCTCTTGTGGAATTTTATATCACTATCCCTAATCAGTTCTCCTTATCCTCATCTTCATTTCATGTTTTTCTATTCCTTTGCTATGATGGAAAGAGAAAAAAACAACAAAAAAAAATACACACATATGTACATACAGACATACAAACATAAAAATGCCACTTCTAATGTCCTGGGAAAAATAGTTGTGTATAATGGATTATTTTAATCTACTAAATGGGGTAGCCACTGACCTATACAAAAATTTCTGAAAGTTGAGGGTGGAAGCAAGCGGACTGATTCAAAATTCTATTAAATATGAAATAACAACTGCATGATTACAGGGAACCTCAATGCATATGACTATTGAAAAATTTGCTCAAACATCCAGTAGTCTATTATCATGTATTTATACTTATATTAAAGTATTTATGAATATTTTCCTTCTATTATAATTTAATTAATTAGTATAATTTAATGCCTGTATTTCCCATGTGGCAATGCAATTCCGTTAAGGCTGAGGCAAAGAAAACAGAGACAACAGTTTACTGGGTTTTTTTTAACCCCAAAGATTTTCAAAAATGTCCTGACATCTCAATAATAGTCTACACAGTTGCACAGAAAACTGTGGATGTGGAAAAGTTGTCATTCCTTTTGTCAGTTAAATACACAAACGTGTATCTTACCTATTCTACCTTCCTGTACTCGGGGGGAACTGCAGTTTCGTCAGTGACACTGATGGAAAGACCGAAGGGGAAATCCCAACCAGAAAAGGAGAATGCTTGCCTCTTAAGTAGTGACATCACAAAGATTTCATTTCATAAATACCTTTGTCCTACTTAGACTTAGACAGAAAATGCAACTGTCTGTATTGGGGTGGGAGTCAGGGAATATTACGGAGTGAAAGAAACCTACTGATGGGTGGCATACAGGGAGGACTGACAGCACAAAGGCTAATGCATGCTGTTAGTCATTTGATATTTTTAGGCCCACAGGATGAATAAAAAATTCATTATGTAATAGTACATTTTAAGACTTCACAACATTCAGAGACAGTTGAGGAAATAAGATATCAGAGGTAGTGAAAGTCTACAAGTGCTTTTAAGTATTTAAACTGACGAAGAATGGTACTCTGTCTAGAAATAAATACTAAATCATCTAAAAATAAGTGTACAGGTCTCACTGGAGTTAAGGATACAAACAAATGTAGTCAAATTCTCTTCTCCTTTCCTGTCACTTGGAATAATACTAACTCAGGTAAAATCTGATGTTTTTTCCAGAAGCAAAGGAAAGTTTTATTCTCTGATCGATGCATGACAACGTGTGATCTCACTCTCTAGAGTACACACTCTCCTGACTTTTTAAATTACACTTCCAATTGCTTTTGGGATTTATTCTCTATTGACCTTTGTCCAGGAACCCTGAGATCCATGTAGTAGACGTCAGCTTTATGTACGTAGCAAGAATGTTTTATTTGAATCATTACCTACAGAAAGAGAACGAGATGCTCAAGGCAGGTGTCAGGAGTCTGCAGAATGAGCATCCCAGGAAGTACAATTTGGCATGGACATTCTTCTGTCTCTCATCTGATACCTTTTCTTGAGTTAAAGTTTCTGATCCATCACTTCCATGTGAAGGAAGGATGATGAAGCCCTTTCTATATTTCTTGCTGAATTGTTTTGAGTTAAAAATGTGAGGCAAACTATGAACGAAAAACAAGAAATTAAAAAGCACTTTATCAGCATCAAAACCTCTTGCCCTTTAAAGCCTCATTTTAATGAACTCATAGGACACTGCATGCAATATTCTCTATTATTACCAGTCTATAAAAATAGCCTATATTGAGTCATACATCAAATAAGTAG